AACTTTTTCAGTAAAATTTCAGGAAACTTTAGATAGCTTTCGTGTCCAGTGAAAGAAATTATTTGACCAGAGCTCAGCTTGCTCTAGAATCAAAGAACCGCCTAATTTCCTGAAGACAAACACCTTTGAAGAACAGAGAACGTGACTAGACCTGACAACAGAATCTGAGCATCCCAGTGGTTAGCTTTATTCGGGTAGTTCAAGCCCAGTCCTTTCTGGGAGTCTTGGGCCTCCTCTGTGCCACTGGAAAACCGCAGATGTGAGGCCTCTGCGCCCTGTGCGTCAGCACCGAGCGAGGGCGGTGAGGGGCCCCAGGGCCCTGCTCTGCACTGCGACGTGTTCTCTGCGTAGGTGTGAATTCGAGAGCAGTGTTGGCACTCCAGGGCAGAAGCAGGGCTGACCTCAGCCTTTAGGACAGAGCTCATAGTGGCTGTACACTCTCCATGCCCCACAAAGACCGAAGCTACTTTGAAGTTACTGGACAAACAATAGTTTGTTATAGCGACCTTGTTAGCTCCAAATCTCCCAACCACTTAAGTATTTTAAAGGGAGGGTTTTATTTAGTCACAGCTGTTTTTAGAAAACAGGTATTTTGGGACCAGCAGATGGCATAATGGTGATGTTGCTGGACTCCCACGTAGTCAACCGTGGTTCGAGTCTTGGACCCAGTGGCTTAAACTCATGCCAGGAATATGTGCATACGTGCCCAAGATCCCGAGAGGAGAATGGAGGAGAAGGGATTGCAGCGTGGCCATCCCCCCTGAGGGGTGATTTCACTTTCTGTCTGTGTATGTCTCTATGGTGAGCACACTCATCCTATGGTAAAACTTCTCTCTCAAAAATAAGAAAGAAAACAGATACTTTCAGTTTAAGGATAATGGCTTGAATTTAAAGAAAGTTTTATCTAGCCTTATGTATTTATTTTTCATGTCTAACTATAAAAGAGGAGGCACGTAATTATGAACTAAGATTAAGCCAATGCATAAGATTAATCCCTTAGTAGCCAGTTTTTGAGTTTATGTTTTCTTCTCTTTAGCCAAGTAAGTTGGAATCGTTACTTTCTTTATTGTTGACAGTTACTAGATTTAACCCTCACAGTCAAGGAGTTCAGTTAAAGGGAAACAGAAGGGCCGGCAGGTGGCGTGATGGTTAAGGGCACTGGACTCCCACGTGGCTGACCATGGTTCCAGTACCAGACTTGGCAGCTTGCTTTCTCACTCCCCTGCCCTCCCCACTCTGTCCCTCTCTGGTCAAATTAAAAAAATAAGTAAATAAAATAATTCTTTAGGGACTGACGATGGAGTGGTGGTTAGGGGTGCTGGACTCCCATGTGGCTGACCAGGCTGACCATGATTCAAGTCCTGGACCCGGCGGCTTGCTTTCTCCCTTTCTCTCTCTCTCCCTTCTCTTGCTCTGTCCCTCTCTGGTCAAATTTAAATAAATAAAGTTAAATAATTTCTTTTTTAAAGGGAAACAAATAGTAATGGTTCAATAGCATCAGTGAATGAAGAATTAAAATTGAAACATTTTCATAAAATAATAGTTTCCATAGACTGGGGAATGAGGAGATGGGAGAGATGTTGGTCAAAAGATACAAAAGTTGGGACCAGCAGTTAGCGTAATGGCTATGTTGCTGGACTCCCATGTAGTCAACCATGGTTCACGTCACGGATCTGATGGCTTAAAATTCACGCCAGGCGCATGTGCGTGCGTGCCCAAGATCCTGAGAGGAGAATGGAGAAGGGATTGCGGCGTGGCCATCCCCGCTGTGTGTGTGTGTGTGTGGGGGGGGGGGTTGCTCGCTTTCTGGCAGCTTGCTTTCTCACTCCCCTGCCCTCCCCACTCTGTCCCTCTCTGGTCAAATTAAAAAAATAAGTAAATAAAATAATTCTTTAGGGACTGACGATGGAGTGGTGGTTAGGGGTGCTGGACTCCCATGTGGCTGACCAGGCTGACCATGATTCAAGTCCTGGACCCGGCGGCTTGCTTTCTCCCTTTCTCTCTCTCTCCCTTCTCTTGCTCTGTCCCTCTCTGGTCAAATTTAAATAAATAAAGTTAAATAATTTCTTTTTTAAAGGGAAACAAATAGTAATGGTTCAATAGCATCAGTGAATGAAGAATTAAAATTGAAACATTTTCATAAAATAATAGTTTCCATAGACTGGGGAATGAGGAGATGGGAGAGATGTTGGTCAAAAGATACAAAAGTTGGGACCAGCAGTTAGCGTAATGGCTATGTTGCTGGACTCCCATGTAGTCAACCATGGTTCACGTCACGGATCTGATGGCTTAAAACTCACGCCAGGCGCATGTGCGTGCGTGCCCAAGATCCTGAGAGGAGAATGGAGAAGGGATTGCGGCGTGGCCATCCCCGCTGTGTGTGTGTGTGTGTGTGGGGGGGGGTTGCTCGCTTTCTGTCTCTCTGTCTCTCTCTGTCTGGCGAGTGCATGTGCCCTATAGCAAGAACCTCTAAAAAAATAAAAAATACAAAAGTTTAGATGGACAGTAAGAATAAGTTCAAGAAATCTTTTGTGCACCATAGTGACTGTAGATAACAACATATTATATACTTGAAAATTATTAAAAGAATAGATTTTAAGTGTTTTCACTACAAAAAATGAAGTATATGAGATAGTACATATGTTAATAGCTTTGATGCTATTCTACAGGGTACATATATGTCAAATTGTCTCATACACCATAAAAATATACAATTTTTACTTCTCAATTAAAATGTTTTAATACAAAAATTAAAGCATTTTATTATTTTACATATATCCAAGTATTTTCAAATAAATGCAAATTATAACAGTTGAAACTCAGACTTCAATAGTAAATTGATTCAAACTTCTAGGAAAATAATCTGAAAATGTGCATTAAAAAAATCATGTTCTTTTACCCAATTATTTTTCGTCTGTGATTTTAGCCTAAAGAAGTAACTTAGAAGAATACAAAAATCAAATGATGTTAGCCACAGCGGAACTCTGAGCAGCCACATTTAGGATAGCAGGTTCTGGGGACAGCCCATCTGCCAGTCACTGGGTAACGGTCAGACCGATCGTGGCACATATGACTTGCTGCAATTCTGCATAAGCATTAAAAATTTAAAAATTGGGGCTGGCAGGTGGCATGGTGGTTATGGTGATGGACTCCCACACGGCTGACCATGGTTCAAGTCCAGTACCTGGTGTCTTGCTTTCTCACTTTCCCTCTCTCCTCTCCCTCTCTCCTTCTGTGTCTCTCTCTGGTCTAATTGAAGAATATTTTTTAAATTAAATAATTCTAAAATTTTTTTTTAAATTACAAAGAAAATGTACATATTCATATACTCATGCGAAAGTATTCATGAGTAAGTGGAAACTGTATCTCTTGAGTTGTATAAGTGTGTTAAATGCAGTCGATCGAATTACTCTGAATGCACACAAGTACACACACAAGTGCAAATAGCTGTAGAGTGAGGGTGACAAGGTTTTCTGTGTTTTCCCCAAAGTTGGTCTACTTACACTGAGCTGGAGGGTGGCAGCATTCCCCTATGATAATACAGTTCTTGCTTCTACTCTAGTCAACACAGACACAGAGACTGCCGTTGTCAACGTCACATACGCAACAAGAGAAGAAGCAAAAGTGTAAGTGCATTTGGACCTGGGTTTGTTTTTGTTTTGTTTTGTTTTGTTTTTTTACGACTTATTTTGGGTTGATCTTTGGATTTCATTGCATTCTGTATTTTAAATTTTTTTGAAAAGATATAGCTTGATGAAGCCCAAAATGTGCCCTTTGTCAGGCCACGGAGCTCCCCGGCATCAGAGCCACCTCTGTTGGAATAGCTCCGAGGTATTCCTGCCACTTCGGGCATGTCAGTAATCCAGAACATTCAGACCAGGATGTTTGCTGATTGTACAGAGACCCATTTTGAAAAACATGAGCCTTGGCATGAAAACCAAAGTGGCAGCCACACCGTGGCGTGCTCAGGAATTGCGAGCACCAGCTCTGATGCCGTGCTCCTGGACCTGCTTTGCTGACCACTGGGGCGGCTCACCTGGGGCTCGCATCATGCTGGTTTCCACCCACGCTTGTTGAGTGGATACTGAAACACACACTGCAGAGGGGCCCGCCTTGGCGACAGCTGCAGCAGGCAGGATTCTTTGGGAGTCGTGAGTCAGTAGCGCTTCGTTTGGGTTCTTTCCTCTTACTCCATTCTCTTCCCCATTCCCGTTTTATGCTGTGTTGCTCCAGTGATGATTAATTTTGAACTTAGCTATTAACAGACACAGGAGTGAGTTTTAAAACAACAGGGGCCAGCATAAAGCATGGTGGTTAAGGCACTGGACTCCCACTTGGCCAACAGTGGTTCAAGTCCCCGACCTGGCAGCTTGCTTTCTCACTTTCCTGCTCGCTCGCTTGTTCTCTCTCTGTGGTCAGATTTTAAAAAATAATTAAAGTAATAAAATTAAATATTAATTTTAATAATGATTTATTATTATTATTCCTTAATTTGACCAGAAAGAGAGAAAGGGAAAGTGAGAAAGGAAGCCACCAGGTCCAGGCCTCAAACGAAAGTCATCCATGTGGGAGTCCAGCATCTTAATCGCCATTCCACCTGCCAGCCCACTAAATATTAATTCTTTAAAAAAAAAAAAAAGAGTTGGTCAAAAACAATTTAATTTTCTTTTTTTTTTTTAATAAAAGTCCTTGGAGTGCTTGTCAGGTCTTCATGACTAAAAATACGGTCACAGATGGTCATACTTTATGGATGGGACGGAAGCTTGATTATTCATCCCAGGATTATAGTTTTCTTTCTTTTTCGAACTTTCAGCATGCATGAAGACAGATTAAACCTGGAGGCCAGCAGGTAGCACAAGAGTTTAAGGGCCTGGACTCCCACATAGCTGACTGGTCCTCACCCCAGACTTGCTGGCTTGCTTTCTCACGTTCCCTTTCCCTAGTCAAAATTAAAAAATAAATTAACTGGGAACCAGCAGTTAGCGTAATGGCTATGTCACTGAACTCCCATGTAGTCGACCGCAGTTCGCATCCTGGACCCGGTGGCTTAAAACTCACGCCGGGCATGTGTACGTGCGTGCCCAAGATCCCGAGAGGAGAATGGAGAAGGGATTGCAGCGTGACCATCCCCCTGGGGGGTGATTTCTCGCTTTCTGTCTCTATGTCTCTCTCTGTCTGTCTGGCGAGCGCACACGCCCTATAGCGAAAATCTCTCCAAAAAAAAAAAAAAAATTAACTAGTGAATTAAATAAAGTAAATAATTTTTTTTTTTTAAGACATATTGGAGCTAGCAGATGGCATAGCAGTTACATCTCTGGACTCCCACATGGTTGAACGTGGTTCAAATCCTAGACCTGGCAACTTGAAACTCACATTCGTGTGTGTACATGTGTACCAAAGATCACAGGAGAGTGGAGGAGAAGGATCACAGCGTGACCATCACCCCAAGGGGTGATTGATCACTTTCCCTCTCACTGTCTCTGTCTCTTTCACTGGAAAGCACATGTGCCCTAAGGCAAAAACCTCTTTAAAAAAAAAAAAAAAAGACATATTAAACCTATTCTCATCACACTAGTTTTTAAAATGTTAATTTTCATTGCAAAAGGTTCCTTAGCTGTAACTTTTATATACATATGTAAGCAGGAGATAGAATAACAACCGACCTTCCCGTACTCATCCAGCTGTTGCTTAGTGGACTCCGATACATATTTCTAAACAGCGATACTGTGTGCTTGTGAAGACTCAAGGTCACAAATGCTCCCTAAAGTGTTACGGTACCATGAATGTTGATGCCTTTCTGAGGACCACTGAGTTCCGCCTACTCTCTGACCCAGTAATCCTATTAGGAACTGGCTTGTGTGCAGAGCTGTACTTGCAAGGACATCCCTGGCAACACGATGTAATTGTAAAAGACTGAATGTAACACGAACATCTAACAATGGAGAGTCAGGTGCAAAAAGTATGGAAATCAATAGGATGTTAAACAGTCATTAAAAATGACATTGAAGGGCCAGCAGATGGTGTAGTGATTACGTCACTGGACTCTGATATAGCCGACCGCTGTGCGAGTCCCAGACCCAGGAGGGGTGATTTCTCACTTTCTGTCTGTCTGTCTCTCTCTCTTTCTCTGTTTTTCTGGCAAGCACATGTGCCCTATAGCAAAAATCTCTTTTAAAAAAAGAAATTGGATTGAAAGCTATTTAATGACATAGCAACATGTTTAGAGTATTAACTCTTTTTATAGGTTAGAAAATAGTGGGAACCAACAGTTAGCGTAATGACTATGTCACTGGACTCCCACGTAGTTGACCATGGTTCACGTCCCAGATCCAGTGGCTTAAAACTCATGCTGGGCGCGTGTGCGTGCGTGCCCAAGATCTTGAGAGGAGAATAGAGGAGAAGGGATTGCGGCGTGACCATCCCCCCTGGGGGGTGATTTCTCACTTTTTGACTCTGTATCTCTCTCTGTCTATCTGGCAAGTGCACGTGCCCTATAGTGAAAATCTCTCAAAAAAAAAACAAAGAAAAAAAATAGTGTATACAATGTTAATCATTTTTTCTTCTTTTTTTTAGATTTTTGCTATAGGGCACATATGCTTGTCAGAGACAGACACAGAGAGGGAGAGTGAGAAATCTCCCCTCGGGGGATGGCCACATTGCAGTCCCTTCTCCATTTCCTCCTGGGATTTTGGGCATGCATGCACATGCACCCAGCATGATTTTCAAGCCAGTAGGTCTGAGACTTGAACTGCAGTTGGCCATGTGGGAATCCAGCACTTTGACCACCACAATACCTGCTGGCCCAGTGTTTGTCTTTTTTTAATAAATATGTTTATAGTTAAGAATGAAAAAGATACAGGACAGATTCAGATTTTTTAAAATACATGATTATTTTCAATAATTTGTAGTATGGTGAAAGTGAGAAAAGATGAGTCATAATCTTATGCCAGTATTTACAAAGAGTTTTCGACAAGGGGAGGCAGTCGGGTGGCGAAGAAAAGCAGAATGCAGAATTGTGCATCCAGCCCGACCAGGCCTGGCCACGTGGTCTGCACCGTTAACTGCCGGTGACGTCCTGCTCGCGGCCCTGTGCTCCGAGCGCACACACCCACATAACCACCTAGGAGGGGAGAGAATGAACTGGTCCCCCGAGAGCCTTCTTGGTGTCACTGACTGGAGCTCTCCTGCCCTGGTATTTCAGAGCCATGGAGAAGCTAAGCGGGCATCAGTTTGAGAACTACTCCTTCAAGATTTCCTACATCCCGGATGAAGAGGTGAGCTCCCCTTCGCCCCCTCAGCGAGCCCAGCGTGGGGACCACTCTTCCCGGGAGCAAGGCCACGCCCCTGGGGGCTCTTCTCAGGCCAGACAGATTGATTTCCCGCTGCGGATCCTGGTCCCCACCCAGTTTGTTGGTGCCATCATCGGAAAGGAGGGCTTGACCATAAAGAACATCACTAAGCAGACCCAGTCCCGGTACGTGCCTCCGGGGCTTCCTTTGCTTCCTTCTGAGGGGTCCCCTGCGTGCTGGTGGGTCTCAGTCGTCCCCAGGTCACCATCGCTTACATCGGCAGCGGGGGGCTGTGCTGTGTGGGACAGCGGCTTCTTCCACAGGACTACTAACAGACTAACATCCAGTAGGGGCTTTCAGGAGCTTTCATGCTAACGGCCGCACGGCCACACCTGGACGGGCCACGGCTTCCTGCAGAGTGGGCTGGCCATCCCGGCCAAGGGTTGCTGCCTGGGTTAACCAGTGCTGCGGGTGCCTTTGTCTCTAGAACAGCAGAGGTGTGGGGCTCTGTGCGACCCTAGGGCCCTCGCTCCTTAGCTCTTGCCTCCTCTACTGAGTCGGAGCCCTGCCGGTAGCCGTCCTGCGGGTAGCCGTCCTCCGAGACCCCCGAGGTAGTCTCACACGAGCTGCACGAAGCGGATGGGTCCCTGGGCTTCAGGCCAGAGGTTAAGTACTGTCTTAGGCGGAGCATTCTGTCTGTCGAGGAGACCAAGCTGGCATTAGTTGTTGTCGTGGAGTTGGTGATGTCCGTATGTCCGTAAGGCCACAGCACGGTGTAATGAAGAAAGCCTGGATACAAAGACCCTTGTTGGAGTTTTACTGCTTAGTGGCTACCAGGTCATGGGGAAAAATGAACACAAGGAGCATCAGTTACTCTCTGTAAAAAAGAAAGTTAGGATCTGTTTTGCAGGAAATATTTTAAGAATTAGTAGCCAGGCAGGTTGAATGAAAGAGTTAACATGAAAGCATTTAAACTGCAAAGCACCACATCCCGATAAGTATTACTTACATGTGCTAGTGCATTTTATGCAGGTCGCTCGGTGAGTACCTTGTAACCTGAAAGAGTTCGCTTCTTCAAGGTGTCTGAATTACTCCCAAGTTTTTAGACACCAGTACAGATGAGTTCCAGAGTGGGTGATCTTAGGAGTGAAATAAAGAACTAGTAGAGAGGAGAGTTACTTTCTGGCATTCCTTTTATTCTTGTTAAATTTTATTATTTTTAATTTGCTAGAGGGCACTTGTCCGATGGGAGAGAGACAGAGGGAAAGTGAGAAAGCAACCCCCATGGGAGATAGCCAGTCCACAATCCCTTCTCTATTTATCTTTCTGGGATTTAGGGCATGCACATATGTGTGCGTCCTGCATGTTTTTCAAGCCCCCAGGCCTGGAACTCGAACCATGCAGCTGGCCATGTGGGGTCCAGGTGCCTTCACCACCACACCACGGACTGACCTGTTTGTTTTACAATAGGCCCTTTCTTTCCCTCCAAGTTTGTTTCACTGTGAAAGTGATTTTTATTTATATGTCTTGTTTCAAAATTTGTTTAAAGTGACGTTAAAAAAAAAAACTAACACGTTTAAATAGAAGTGAGGTTAGCTCTCAAAGTGTGTCCCCTCTTTTTACAAGAAGGCTGGACACTTGGCATTAGGCTTTCTAACAGCCAGAGTGAAAAGGGATGCGATCAATTACGTGCTTGAAAGTTAACAACAAATAGGGTCACAGCTACCCCGAGAAGTCCGATAAAGTCATCCAGCTTTTGAGCCCTTAGTTTTAAGAGCCTGGAAGAAGGCAGGCTGCCAGTGAAAAGGAAGCCTAAACCTTAAAGAGGCAGAGAGAGGGCAGGCCTCTGTTTCTGTCCACACTCATATAAGACTCGCCTGGATTGGAGCTCAGGTTTGGATTAACATACGGCTTTTTAGAGCGGCAGTCATTTCAGCGACCGGCAGCGTGCCAGCCTGCCAGCGTGTGGCATGACCCTTCTCACTCTTCTCTTCACTCCTGCAGTCGTTTGAGAGACTACACAAAACACTCCGTCTACCAAACCAGCTTCATGACCAGGCTGGCTTGGTGCCTTTGTCCCGTAGCACTTCTGTAAGAACTGTTCCCTTCTAAGTGGCGCTGCAAAGAATTAAAGTTTGGCACAAGACCCTGCCCTGCTTGCCTCCTTCTCGGAGAATGGCACTGATTGCAAACGTGCTGGTGACACTCCTTCGTCTGTCTGTGTCCTCACTGTGTACTGACTGGTGTGCACTCTCTGGGGAGCAGGGTCCTATCCCGGATGGTGCTGTACTTATGACTCCCGACTTTCCCTA